AGCCCTCACTATGAGGATAGTCCCATGAATTGGCCAAGGGCCTTGGATGTTCTGGAATTCTTTGCCAAGCAACATCCAAGGGCAGGAACTATCATTTCCATTTTACAGGAGAAGAAACTGAGGCACAAGGTCATACTCCTTCCTCTCCGTCTCTCCTGCCCATGAATGTGGCCTTCAAACAGAGGGCTGACTCCATTAGAAGGAAAATTAATTTCTTTCAAGGGTATATGAACACCCTGCCTTGGCCTGGAAGTTCGGTGGGCAAGTAGTGCAGGTGGGCAGTGGGCAAAGCTGGTGTTCCTGTGCTCAGAATGGCTGCTCTCAATCACTATCAGGTGCCTGAGTTCTGGGACAATGGGACAGTTTCTCTAGGTATCAGTGACCTGAGCATGTGTGAGTTTGGGCAGGTACCTCTCTTCTGCACAGGGTTGGTGGCTGCGCTGTGCTAACTATCTTTAACACCATATCTCTGACTCCTTCCAGAACTCTAAAACCCTGGCAGGGAGTGGGAAAAGAAAACCAACACTGCTTAAGCACCAGCTGTGTGCCAGGGATGGTCCTGGGCATCTGAATATAATGATAGCAATAGCAGCTAAGGTGTATCAAGTGTTTCCTACATCCTAAGCACTGTAGTTAGTACTTTGTATGGATTTTCTCTTTACAGCAAGCCCTGCAAAAAGATAGGTGTTACATAGCCATGGGTAGAACAAAGACCCTGCCCTCTTGAATCGTATATTTTAATGTGAGATAAAGAAACAGAAATGAGAGGGACTTCCAGTAAGATGGAGGAATAGGCAGACAAATGGCACAGACCCTCTTCAACAAAGAAAAGAAAAACCAATTGACAGAGATACAGAAGATAATCCTGGAGCCCTGAGGTTTGAAAGGAACTATACAGAAGTGGATTAGGCACCAACTATTGGAAAAACCTGAACAAAAACAGTGAGTACAGAGATGGTCAGAGCTGCGGATTGTCAGCCACTCTGACGGGACCAACAGCCTGAATATTTCCCAGTAGTGTTGGGACCTGAGAATTGACCTAAAGGTCAGCCCTAAAGGTCACCACAGGCTGCAGGGATGACTGCACTGGTGCCCTATGAGTAGGAAGGAGGGAGAAAACCTGAGCTGTTGACTTTCTGCTGTCTGGAGGGCATAGCCATTTTGATTGTTTACACACGGCAGCCATTTTAGATATTTAAAGTGACCGAGGGTGCAACCATTTTGAATGTTTACAAGTGGTGGTCATTTTGGATATTTAAAGTGACTGACAGCAAGGCATTTTGATTGTTTACAAACGGTGGCCATTTTAGATATTTAAAGTGACTAAGGGCATAGTCATTTTGAACCTTTACAAGTGGCAACCATTTTGGATTTTAAAGTGACAGCATTCTCATTCGGATTTCAGGAACCTAAGAATAGGCTCTGTTTGCCAAGGTTGCCAGGGACATATGAGAGACTGACAACAGGAAAGGAGACAGGTGGTAGGTATATAAGTGCTGTCAACTAATGAATAGAGGAGCACAGCACAGTACCCTGCTTGCATATATACCATACAAACAAAACAAAGACAACAAAAATCATGGGCAAGTCACTACAACATGCAATCACCAATTGAATATAAACACAAAAACATCACAATGTCTCGAAGACAACAGCGCATCACAGTCCACACAAAGAAGCAAGATAAAGCAGGAGAAACAAGGGACCAGGATACAGACCCAAAACACATCCTTGAGGAAGACACAGCATTGGTGATGGGGAATTCCTGATAAGGAATTCAAAAGAATTATATTTAGGTACCTTCAATGAATTGAGAGACAGATCAAGGAAAACACAGAGAAAATCCAAGAACAATTTCAAAAGACAGTACAAGAACAAAATGACAAAATAAATGAAAAATTAGAGATGATACAAAATCTACAGACAGAAATCCAGAAGATTAATACTAAATTTTCAGAAATAGATAAGACATTGAATGGGCAAAGGAGCAGAATTGAATCAATGGAAGACAGAATTGGTGAGATTGAAGCCAAATACCTGAACACTTGTTTGGAAAGGGATCAATCAGAAAAAAGATCAAGACAAAATGAAGAAAGCCTAAGGTTCATGTGGGATTCCATCAAAAGGAATAACCTATGTGTAATTGGAATTCCAGAACAGGAAGAGAAAAATAAAACCACAGAGAAAATTGTGGAAGATTTGTTGGAAGAGAATTTTCCTGGTATGACGAAAGATGAGAATATATCCATTCAGAAAATCCAACAAACCCCAAACAGGATAGATCCCAAAAGAAAATCACCCAGACGTATCATCATCAAACTCACCAAAACCAAATACAAAGAAAGAATCCTGAAAGCATGGGAAAAACAAAAACTTACCTACAAGGGGAAACCAATAAGACTAAGCTCGGATTTCTCAGCAGAAACCAGGCAGGCGAGAAGACAATGGGATGGTATATATAAAACCCTGAAAGAGAAAAATTTCCAACCAAGAATTACATACCCAGCAAAATTGTTCCTCAAATATGATGGTGAAATTAGGACATTTCCAGACAAGCGGAAATTAAGGGAATTTGTTAAAACCAGACCAACCTTACAAGAGATGCTAAAGGGAGCCCTTTGGACAGAGAAGCAGCAACAGCCAACAACTGACCATTAACACACATGATGATATAACCCAGAAATCAACCCAGCTATGGAAGCATGCAAAGTAAAAAGGCTACAAGATTATGAACAGGAAACCAGAGACATCATAATGAGGACAACTACAAACTAAAAAGAGGGGAAAAACTGTGTCATTACAGAACTTCTAGATGGTAGGAAAGTCAAGACAACTACAAGATAGAACAGACTCTTCTAAACTTGGGAAGAAAACTATAAATCACGGGGTCACCTCAAAGAAAAATGATAAACCTTCACATCAAAAAAGAGGACCAGCATAAATATTCAGCAAATGCTAGAACAATAGCAATGAAGGAAGTGATAACACAATTCATAAACAAAACAAGCTCAGCATAGAAAATTATATGGAACAAACAAATCGACACCACAAAAAAGCACATAACAAAAATGACAGCAACAAATTCATATTTGCCGATAATTACGTATCTGGCAAGGGACTTATCTCCAAGATTTATAGCGGAAGAGTGGATGACTAAACTATGATACATACACATAATGGAATGCTATGCAGCACTAAGGAATAACATAGAGTCTGCAAAACACTGCATAATATGGATGAACCTGGAGGACATTATGCTGAGTGAAATAAGTCAGTCACAGAAGGATAAATACAGTATTAGTTTGTTGTTGTGGAGGGTGAAGAAAAGTTTATATATGAAGGGAAACTTTCTTTGTTGGTTGCCAAGGGTGGGAGGGGAGGGGAAGGAACACTGCAAAAAAAAAAGTGCCTTGACCCATGTCACTTTAGTTTTAGTTTTGTGTATTTTACTGTTTTGTGTATTTCATAAATTTTATTTCAATAAAATGCATTAAAAGAAAGAGAGAAAGAAAGAAAAACAGAGATGAATAAAAGAGTGATGGGCAGAGAATTTTAGGGCAGGTTAGTTATCCCCATTTTATAGACAAGGAAACTGAGCCTCAGACAGGATGGGTGTTTTGGTCATCTATTGCCGCTCTAACAGAAAATATCACAAGTGGGTGGCTTAACAGACAGGAGTTTATCCTCTTATAGTTTCAGAAGCTAGAAGCCCAGGTTCAAAGTGCTGACTCTATGGGCCAGGTGAAGGCCCCTCAACCTTGGGCTTCAGCTCTGCCTCTTGCTCCCAGCCCACTGAAGCTGGAGGCTTCTCTTACTCAGGCAGCTGTTGGCTGCTGAGGCCGACAAACCCAAGGTCAACAAAAAATGGCACAGTCCCAAGATTACCAAATGACATGTTAGGCCATTAGTTCAAGTCCAGAGACAGTCCCAAGATTGGCAGGCAGCATGGCAGGCTGCTGCTGAGTGAAGACTCAGCTACATGCAGGGTCCAAGCATGCCAAAAAGCTCAAAGACCTTTCTCAAAACTTCTCCTTATATACTGGAAGCAGACCACATCCCTAAGGCAGCTACTCAGCTGTTCCAGTAGATTCTATCACGGAGTTGATTACCAGTCTCACCATGAGGAATACTATATCCAGCTGCCCAGCCACTCAAAACCAGGCCCAGCCAAGCTGACACAGAAGTTAATGACCACATTGGGTATCTTGCCCAAAGTCAGTGATTGGATGATAGTGCCAATATTTGGAAGAAAAGGTCCCTGGGTGGCACAAATGGTTTGTATTCAACTACTAGCCTAAAGATGGGTGTTTCAAACCCACCCAGTGGTGCCATGGAAGAGAGCCCTGGTAATCTGCTTTTGTAAAGATTCCAGCCAAGAAAACCCTATGGAGCAGTTCTACTCTGTACTATATGGCATCACCATGAGTCAGAATCAACTCAATGGTTTTGGCTTGTTGTTGTTGTTGTTATGTGCCGTCGAGTTGGACCCGACTCGTAGTGACCCCTCCTTGGGTTTCCAAGGCAGTATCACTATGGAAGTAGATTGCCCTATCTTCCTTCTGAGGAGTGGCTGGTGGGTTTGAACCGCCAGCCTTCTGGTTAGCAGTCCAGTGCCTTAGGCACTATGCTACCACAACTCCCTTGGATTTGGCTTAGACACTGAAAAAAAGGTTTTGCTGAGGTCACACAGTACCCATTTTATAGATGAGGAAACAGGCTTGTAGATTACTTAATTGCCCAAGGCTATGCTGGATTGAACTCAGGTTTGCCTGACTCAGGAGTCTAAATCGATTCGTTTCTTGACTTCCCAACAACGCTGTGACATGTCTGTGAGATAGATGGGGACTCCAAGTGTTAGGTAGGTAGACTGGCTTTCACAAATTCAGCACCTCACCCAGGATCTGAACTCAGCCTGATGTACTTCAGGCCACATCTCCCCCGCCCCAGTCTGAGTGCCCTGGCCAGTACTGACAGGCTTCTCCCTCTGTGTTTGCTTGAAGGCGCAACGTACTGAGTCTGTCCTCTGGAATCGACCACCCAGGTGCTCTGAAGTGGGACCTCGCTCTCTGCCTCCTCCTTGTCTGGCTGGCCTGTTTCTTCTGCATCTGGAAAGGTGTCAAGTCCACAGGGAAAGTAAGTTGAACTTCTGTCCGTCTCCTGCCCTTAGCAAAGAGCATCGAGGAGGGAGTTTGCCAGTGATATGCTGATAACCAGTCCTCTGAAAAAATAAAAAGCACTGGTTTGTAGTACCTGCCCATTTTGTGGTGTAAATACTCTCATTATGTCTTATTTAGAGTTATTAATGGTTTTACAACCAGCTCAGAAAATTCCTGAAAATGTATCTTGACATTCTCTTGAGCCATGCCAGCAGCTCCAGCCAACAACAAGTTTCACACATAAAACCAGCATAGTTATAACTACAAAGTTAGCTGGTAATGAAGTTAACCAGCATCTGCATTGCTGATTATAAGCTACTAGCTGACAGCAGGGACTCCACTTCTCAAAGTGTGCTGTGACCAGTAGCCTCAGCATCACTGGGGAACTGGTCAGAAATACAGACCCAGGGGCCTGGCCCTGACCTACAGAGTCAGGTTCTGCACTTTAACAAGGCCCCTAGATCATTCTCATGCACAGTATGGTTTGAGATGCACTGACTTAGGTATTTCCTGCTCATTCAAGATGCACTGAGTTATAACTAACATTTTACCTGGTAACTGCCATGTTACCTGATAATGTAATCATTAGCTAAAAAACAAGATGTTGCTGTTAGCAAAAGTATCAGCTATCACAGATATTTGCTGATGATGAATATGTTACACAGCCTTCAAAGTTAGCTATCAACAAATATGGTAGCTTGTAAATAAGGTTTTAAGGGTCTTGCATGGTGTAAACAGTTTGCCCTCGGCTACTAACTAAAGGTAACTTCAGGGACAGTTCGAATACACCCAGTGGAAGTGTGGAAGAAAAACCTGGTGAACAATGTCCATGAGATTGTTATTGTTAGCTGCTGTTGAGTTGGCCCCCGACAATGGCAACTTCATGCTTTACAGCATAGAACTGCTCCATAGGGTTTTCTGGGCTGTAGTCTTCATGGGATCTTTACAGAACTACTTGCACCACCAGGGCTTCTTTCCATAAGGTCACAGCCATTGAAAGCCCTATGGAAAACACATGGAAAACACTATGGAACACAAACCCTGAGTTGGAATTGGCTCAGTGGCAACTGTTTTTTTTTTTTTTTTTTTTATCTGGCCCTAGAGCCCATGCACTTAAAGAGGGGCTTGCACCAATGGAGTAAAGCTGAGGCAAAAAGTTTTTGTTTGTTTTACTAAGTTTTTATGTGTAACTGATATATTGGCAATAATGCAAATGTTACCTAGTAACAGTGGAGCAGAGCAATTACCTGATAACCTAGCTGCTGCCTGATAGGGTGGTGCCAAGTGTCTGTTCTGATCCCAGGTATAACCCATAACAAAGATGTTGGTCATCTGCCTATAGAGTCACCATTCACAGAAGCATTTGTACCTCTTCTAGACCAAAAAGCCTGGAACAGTCAAAAGAGCATCTGAAGGTGGCATTGCAGCCAGAGTGACAGGCATTGGAGAAAGGGCCTTTGCTGCACCAGCCCTGTAGTTGAATCTAGCATCACAGTGCATACCCTTCCCTGGATAAAGAGCTGCCTCAGAGGTGATGTCCTTGATCTGAACAGACCCAAGAACTTGGCAAGATCCATGCACTAGGGTTGCAAGGTGAAACAGTAATGCCCTGGCATGGGGTCCTGTACCACCACCCACCCCTCTGTCTGCTCTCAGGCAGAGTCATACTGCAATCCTAAAGCCCATCTGGAAAAGGGAGCAGGTCAGGCCTCAGAAATCTCGGTGTGCCTCCGCAGAAGCTCCATATGACACTTCCCCTGACCCTGGGGAATGCAAGTTATTTCTGCACTACCTGTTACCCTATTTCCTCTTTGGTTTTAGGAGAAAAACATTAATGTTCTTACCTTTCTTTAAATGATGAAGAAACTGAGGCTCAGAGAGCATAAGTAGTCACAGGTCTGTCCAAGATCACACCCTCATCTCTGAATTCAGTTTCTTTATTTATAAAATGGGCTTTGGTGAGGGTTAGAGTAAGTTGTGTTAAGCACCTAGCACAATGCTTGTAACAGACAGCTCAGTAAATGCTAATTCCCTGCTTCACTCCACCTCAGTTTCCCCAGATAGAAGTGCATCCGTTGGGAAGTTTTTCTGGAGCTTTGGGCCTGGGCATGCTGGAGACATAATCATTTACTTCTTCACTAATGGTTTTGAGCCTGTACCATGTGCCAGGTACTGTTCTAAGAATAGGGTCAAGGGCGTGCAGAGACCAACAAAATGGACAGAATTCTCTGTCATCAAGCAACTGACAAAAAGCAGGAAGAATCGTTAACAAGCTCATATATTCAATATACTGAGCAAACACTCATGTAGCACTTCCTATGTGCCAGGCACTATACTAAGAGCTTTCTACTCATTAACTCATTGAATCCTCAGAACAACTTGAAGGTGTAGGTACTATTAAACCCACCGCCCTCAAGTTGATTCTGATGCATAGCAACCTTGTAGGACAGAGTAGAACTAGTTCACGGGCTATAAATCTTTACGGAGGCAGACTGCCACATCTTTCTCCCCCTGGAGTGGCTGCTAGGTTCTAACTGCTGAACTTTTGGTTAGCAGCCAAGTGCTTTAACCATTGTGCCACCATGGCTCCAGGTACTACTACCTCCCTCCCTTTTCTAGATGAGGAAACTGAGACCCAGGGAGTTGAAGTCATCTGCCTGAGGTCACAGAGCTGGCAGATGGCTGAGGTGGCGTTTGAATTCAGGAGTCAGATAGTGACAAGCTATTGGAATAAATTAGAGTGGTGAAGGAGAACAGGGAGATTGTAGGTGCATTTCAAATAAGGTGACCAGGGAGGAGGTGACTTTGGGGCAAAGATCAGAAGGAAGTGAGGGAGTTAGCCATGCAGCTATCTGGAGGGAAACATTTCAGATAGAAGGGACAGGCAGTGCAAAGGCCCTGAGTTGTGACTGATCCAGACCCTTAGGGAGCCCCCAGTGTGATGGAGGAAGCTAATGTGTCCTGGGAACAGTTGGTGATAATTGAGAGAAAATGAAGTGAATGGGAGAATAGGAGCCAAAACTGATAGCATGGGATGCCTGCCTGCAACTGAGATCCGACACATATATGACTTGCCAGTGGTACCTCTACCACCCCTACTGATGCCCTCCTCTTTGGGGCAGGTGTGGTTACCAGAAAAATAACAAGACTTCACCAGCTCAGAGAAGCCAAGACAAATACAGTGAGGGCTCTGTGGATTTCCTTGAGCTCTGTGCCTAAGATACCGCCTACCCACCTGCCCACCACTGGCTGTGGCTTCCAGCTCTGGTGGCAGCCCAGGCCATGGCCAGCAAGAGGGCCCCACCCTGGCTGTGGCCCCACTATCAGGCTACCTCCATATCACAGGAGGTGGATGGCAGAAGGGTCCAGCCAGCGAGGCATGAGACCCAAGTTCAAATTACTTTGCTTCTCTGTCTAAACCCACTGCCACTGAGTCGATTCTGACTCATAGTGACCCCCATTGGGTTTCCGAGGCAGTAAATCTTTACGGTGGTAGATTGTCCAGTCTTGCTTCCACGGAGTGGCTGGTGGGTTTGAACCACCAACCTTCTGGTTAGCAGTCAGATGCCTTAGGCACTGTGCTACCAGAGCTCCTTGCTTCTCTGTCTGGTGGTCTGAAACTTGGCTCCAGAATATGCTATAGCTCAATTAATTCAACCAATAGTGATAATACTAGCAGCATGTGTGTGCTGGGAGCTATTCTGTAGCTCATTTAATCTTCACACCATTCTAAGGACAGTACAATTGTTATTCCTGTTTTATAGATGGAAGAACTGAAGGCTAGAGAGGCTCATAAGTTAAAGCCCAAAGTCACACAGCTTGTTGGTGGCTAAGCTGGCATTTGAACTCAGGCATCTAGCTCCCATGCTCTCCCACTGTCCGACAGTCACTTGGCCTCAGCTCGCTCCTACCTCATGCTGGCCTGAGGATACAGGAGGGCATGAGGCAGGCATAGACCTGTTCCCAAAGGGCACATGGTCCAGGCATGGAACAGAAATCCAGACTCTTACCCTGGAAGTCCAACCTTGTGGACCAAAGGGGAGCAAAGCCACAGAAGTGAGCAAACCACTTCCTGTGGCTGGGATCCTGTTCAGACTGTTCTATGTTCCCTCGTTAGAAGCAAAGAGGAATTCAGAGCCAGACTGACCTGGCTTTGGATTTCAACTCTGTCCTCTATCCCCACCTCACAAGCTGCATGAATGGGCAATTCCCTTTCCCTTTCAGAGCCTCAGTTTCCCTTTGTGTAAAATGAGTTCATGATATCTTCCCCCAGGTGACCCCCACCTCAGGGCCTTTATCCTGTGGTATGAGTGGCCCCTACCTGCCTCTCAGGCCACTGTCCTGATGGAATGGGGAGAAGTTGTCCTTGCAAGTTTCCAAGGCAGTTGGCCATAGGGCTTTGGGTTGAGGGCTCGGAGAAGCCTTGGAAGTTCACCAGCAAGAATGGAAAAATACCATATCCCATGGCAAGGCCTGTTGGGTCACCTGTCAGAGGCCCCCTGGCAGCAGCTGGCACCGTGTCTCCTGCAGAGATCCCAGGGGAGTCACAGAAAAGTTGAGAGAATGGCTCTCAGGGGTTTGTCCCCAGAGCAGCAAATTCTGCAAAACAAGGGTAGCTTTCCAAAGAGGTGGCTGAGGTGGTATGACCTTAGGAGTTATTAGGTGGGGCTGCCAGTTCTGGATTCAGGGGAGGGACACCACATACACTTAACATACACACATACACACTGTCATACTCCAATACACACGTACAGTATGTGAGCTCTGCTGCCAGGTGGCCTGAACTCAAGGTCCACCTCAGCTACCTGCCAACCCTAGGCCTCAGTTTCCTCATCTAGGAACTAAAAGTAGTGGTAGCACCTACCTCTTTACCTCTTCAAGGTGTTGTGAGGATTAAATGAGTTAATATGTGCTATGTTTTAGCACACTTACTGTTGCCGCATAACCGTTTCTTCAATATACATGAAAACAAGAAGCCGCCCACGCTCCCTGCTCCTGTCCTGTGTCCCTGGCATGGATCTGCTGGCTACAGCCTGGACTGCCCAACCAATGGGGGCCCAGCTGACTTTGAAGTGGTGGCCCTCTGGGGATTGGTGTGGGGACACTTTCAGCCACTATTGTTCACTAGCAGCCAGACATGGTGCAGCTGGCAGGGCCCCAGGACTGGACACTGGTTGGGGGTGCCTGTCTGCAGGAAGGGAGGGATAGGCTTTTGGGTTGGGCTGGTATTATTTCTTTCACCCCTTCTGGAGTTTCCTGACCTATCCCCACCCTCCATAACCACCTTCTCATCCTGTGGAAATTGGGAGGGTTCCCTGCCTCAAGAAGAAAATAAGAATGGCTAGGGAAACTGAGGTCAGGAAGAAGACTGGTGTCCAGGAGGGAGTGGCAGAGGCAGGGTTGGGAGTCACCCTCTTAGCTATATAGTACTATCACAATAGTAGTAATGATTCAGGTTTCTGGGGTGGTCACTGTGGGCCAGGTAGCAGGCAGGGTGAGCCCTCTCATGATCCTTATTGCACAGACTAGGAGCCAAGTTGCACAGCTAGTGGGTGGCTGGCCCTCTCAACCACTCCTCCCCCAGAGAGACAGAGCCAGAGACAGCTCATTGAACCAAATTCCCTACATCACAACAACAATATGCTTGGGGAGGTGGCCATAACTTGCTCAAGGTCTCACAGCCAGCCAGCTATTGGGCTCACATAAGACCCAAGGCTCTTGAACCCCAGCACCCTTCGGTTGTTGGGATGTTTAAATAAACTGCCAGATACGAAAGGCTTTGACTGAAAGAGTTCACTGTTGGTGCTCTGTTGTCATCGGGAGGCAGTGCTGAGAGGCCAACTCTGTGCCACATCTGCACTGTGTGACCCTCTTATGGGCCTCCATGTCTTCACCTACAAAATGGAGTCAGTGACAAAATGGGGTCAGTGATAAGGATCAACAGTAGGATAAAATGAGCATGTGAATTGGGCCAGGCACATAGTAAATGCTCAATACATGCTAGGTATATTGTTAGGCTGAGGGCAGTGGGCCAGGTAGGCCCTGAGAGTATCCTTCCTGCCCTTAGGAACTCCCTTTTTGGTTGCTTGTACTGAAGGGGATTGTGGCCTGAAAAATCTGCTCTGTGGGAGGCTCCTGTGAGGCAGGTGAGACTCTAGGCTCTCTCAGCATCTGTTGGCATGTGCTAGGTCCTGGGCCCCCAAAATACTGTGAAGGGACAGGTGGAGGCTGGCAGCCTATCCTGGCATGGTCCCAATGCAACGAGGACCTTCTTCCTGCTCTTTAGTTCTCAGTTTCCTCACCTGTGAAATGGGCTTGTTGAACATACAGCAGTTCTCTCCTCTGGTCCCCAGGTTCCCATGGCCCTCAGGTAGCCAGAGGCTCTAAGAGCCAGTCTCTGAAAGGCTACCACAGAATTTCTGTATTTCTCCCCACTGGCGAGTACCTTGCATCTGTGCTCAGAGCAAGGTGTTTAACCTTCCAAGGACCCTAGGTTCAAGTTGTGCCCTGTAGATGACCTAAGCAAGGTCTTGAGGCCAATTGAGCCTTGGGGCCTCCACTGAGTCGTCCTGCCAGCTCACTGCCATTGGGACCTTGGTGAGGACGAAGTGCGTTTGTGCCTGTCCAGTTGGCCAGGCCCCTTTGAGCTTCTCCCAGGCATAGATACTGTGTGGATACATCTTGTGTTGAATAAAAAGATCCTGAATGTATCCATATGAATTGAAGCCACAGCCCAACACTTTTAGGACAGGTGAGGGGGAGTGAGGAGGGCAGGTTCTTGGGGGTAAAAAAGCCCCAACCAGGTCATTTCTGTTTGGGAGAGGTCATCTCTTTTCTCTACCTAGACCCTGACCTACCTCCAGATATGCACTGTGACCCAGGGAAGGCTCCTGGATCCTGGCTGAGGGCCTTTGAGAGGCCTTATTTGCTTCTTAGAAGTTCCTGTGTACTTCCCACAGGATCATGATACCAGTAACACACGCCATTTCCCCAGCTCCTACTAAGTACCAGGTGCTATTTCAAGGGCATTTTAACATCATACCATTGGGTCCTCACCTCACCATTTGATGGCTTCTGCTACTCTTATCCCCATTTTACACATGAGGAAACTGAGTCTCAGAGACGTTGCAGCATGCTCAAGGTTACACAGCAAGTGTTGTTGTTGTTATGTGCCAAGTGCGGGGCATTTTTTTCTGCTGGGCCTGTGATGGGTGCCGATTTGAACCCACACTTGTTGTAACCATGAGTCATACATACAGTTGTGATGTTAGCTAATAGGTACTAAAAGTGCCATGTGCCAGCACTGAGCTAAGCCTTTTTGCATACACAGCTGGGTGTCTTAACCATGTGTACCACCAAGGACTCTAGGACGAAATAGGTGCTAATAAATATTTATAAGGTTTTTTCATTTACTCTCAGTAAATCTACAAGGTAGGTGCTTGCATTATACCCAAGTTACAGGTGAGGAAATGGATGCCCACCCAGGTGGAGTGGAGGCTTGGACACAGGGAGCCTGGCTCTAGAACCATGCTCTTGACCGGCACACTCCTTCTCTCAGATTAAGCAGCGGCTGGTGATGCCCACAGCCAGCCTGAATCCTTCCCTGTCCCCTTGCAGGTTGTCTACATCACAGCCACGTTCCCATTCATCATGCTCCTGGTGCTGCTTGTCCGTGGACTCACACTACCTGGGGCTGGTGCAGGCATCAAATTCTATCTGTACCCCGACATCTCCCGCCTCGAGGACCCCCAGGTACTGTGGGGCAGGCGCCATGCCCATCCTCTCTTCTACCCAGGGCCAGACCAGTGAAGGATGGGGTGGGCACTGAGGACAGCTAGAGACATGCTCTTGTATTCTTGGATGCACAAACCTAGCCCCAGGCCTTCACCCTGGTATTTTTCCATTGAGCTTGTGGTGGGCCCTGTTGTTCCTTTTGTCCTCTGCCCCTTCCAGGCCTGTTTGTATCTTTTAATCTTGAGAATTCCTGAGGCTGATCAATTATAGTGTCTGCCTCAGGCCCTGTGCCAGGTAAGGGAAAGGACTCTTGTGAAGAGCTTGTCTCCCTTTGGTCTGGTCCTCTGCCCACAGTGACTCGAGAAAGCTGAGCCAAGAAAGTGGGAGAGCCGAGCCAGGGAGAGATGCTGGCTTCCTCGGCTCAGAGTGGAATACGTGGCCAGCGACCTCTTGGAAGGTTGAGGGGCAGATACTTAAAGTACCTCTGCAGGTATCTGCCACACGACCTCAGGGAATTGGAGAAAACTGTGGGAGATTGGAATGGCCCATTTGAGGACCTTTTGTCCCCAGGCTCTTGGGCTCTCCCAGGGTTGCCTTCTAGGGGCTGTGCCTATTCAGGGCTCTTTCTCACTGTACTCCCTGTGTAGGTGTTAGGTAGGTGGGTATGTGGCCAGCATCAAAGGGCAACTGGGAAGGCAGCTTTGTGGCAATCAGGAGTTATTAGGTGAAGGTTCTGGAGAGCAGCTTTGTCTGCATAATTCATTAGGGAATTATTTCCTATTCCATGTTGGGGATCCCCAGATAATAACAATAATAATAGCAGCCTCAACTCCTGGGCTTACTATGGCACTGGGCTACATCCTCTCTGAACCTGCAGAATAGCTCTGTGGGCTAGAGCAGTGATGCGCATTTTACATATGTGAAAACAGAGGCTGCAGAGTGATATTTTCTTTCTTTTTCTTTTTTTTTAATTTGATTGTGATTTGGGTGAAAATTTACAGAGCAAATTCATTTTCCATCCAGCAGTTCATGTACATTTTGCTTCATGACATTGACTGCAATTCCCTACAATGTAACAGCTCTCCTCCCCTTTCCTCTCCATAGTTACCTCTTCCCTGTGTCCTTCCCTCCCATGCACTTCCACCCCCTAAGCTGTCTCCCTGTGCAAACACTGCCCTTCCGTTCTCCCATCATTGATCATTGATTGACTGACTGATCACTCCAAGGGGTGTATCTACCTGATGTAAATGTTCATCCCATATGCCTATTTATTGTTTGGCTGGAAGCCATAGGAGTGAGTTCAGTTCCAGACCTGAAGGGTAACTAGGGGTCTCAGGGTCTTACTAGGCTCTATCAGACTAGCAAACCTGGTCATTTTTTATGATTTTGAGTTTTGTTCCATGTTGTTCCCCCACTCTATCCAGGATCTGGGAGTGATGTTTTCTTACCCAGGATCATTCCAGGGTTGGAATCCAGATCCACCTGCTTTAAAACCCCAGCTTCAACCCTGATGCTAAGTGACTGGGGGGTTTCTTCGACTTCTGGGGTTCCTTACATCTCAGAATTGCCTAGAAAGGCCTCTTGGATTCTAATACAAAAGGTCCATTTGCCATGGAGAAGCTGCCAGCTCTTTTTCCTTTGGCTGTGGGGCAGGAGTACAGAGAGTGGCTTATTTGGAGATCCAGTCCTCAGGCCGATCGTTGCCAGATGACCAAGAACCGACACTGACTGCTCCATGAAGCTTGCTCTAATGGCCCTTCTCTCTCTCTTCCCACCCTGCCTTTACCCAACTAGGTGTGGATTGATGCCGGGACCCAGATATTCTTCTCCTATGCGATCTGCCTGGGGGCCATGACCTCTTTGGGGAGCTACAACAAGTACAAGTACAACTCGTACAGGCAAGTGTCGTCCCGGCGGGCCTGGTGCACCTTAGAGTTGATGATGATGATGATGATGATGATGATGATGATGATGATGTTTAAAGAAAAAGAAAGAAGTAGGGAGCGTGGCTTCCATGTGTTGTGAATTAACTTGCTCCCTGACATATGTGTAACTTAGGGACTGTATGCTGCTGGGATGCCTGAACAGTGGTACCAGTTTTGTGTCTGGCTTCGCAATTTTTTCCATCCTGGGCTTCATGGCACAAGAGCAAGGGGTGGACATTGCTGATGTGGCTGAGTCAGGTATGGTGGTATTGGTGGCAGTGGTGGTGGGCACTGCCACCTAGTGTGTGAGCCAAGTACTGTAGGCATGAAGCCAGACCCCAGGGGGATTTGGGGGGGACAAGCCTGGTTTTCAAAATGGACCCCCCCCAAGACTCCCCCAGATATCAAAGTGTACAACAGCAAAACTTTAAATATTTTCATTGTGATTTAGTCTAAAAGGTGACAGGAACATGGGGGTGGTTAAAGTTGGGAATTACTTAGCTACTTGCTTGTAGTCTTTCCCCTGCCCCCCATTTTCCCAGCAAAGTCCTAGTTTCAGCTATGAACCTCTTTCTTAACTCAGGCCCAAGTCAGCCACCAACCAACAGGTCATTGCCACCTTCTCAGCCTTGGTTTCTGTATTTTGTACTTTGCCCCCAGTGTGCTCCCTCTAAGCGGACACATTCATTCATTCATTCCATCGACATTTATTGAGTGTCTACTCTGTGTCAGGTACTGCTGTGGGCACTGAGGCCCTGTGGGGATGGGACAGATGAGGGAGAAAGAGTGAAGGGGGGATGACACCCTCCAGTTGGAATAAATTAGAGTGGTGAAGCATAGTTTTGGAGAAGCAGATGACAAATCCCATTTTGAAGTAGGTTGTGAGGACCCTGTCACCCCTCAGAGGTGGACCCTGTTAACGAGCATGCCCAGGACACCTGGATCATGGGAGTGGAGAATCAGAGTTTCAGAAACATGGAGTCTGTGGAATATGGGACATTAGTAACCTAGGGTCCAACAGCTCCAGCAAGATGGACCTGGAACTTAAGAATTATTGGGTCTTCCGTTGCTAGAATCCCAGAGCCTACAAACCACAGCATCGTAGGTATCCAGACTCTAAAACTTGCCCATGGATGCTTACATGTTTGGAATCTTAAGGTTTAACACTGCAGGGGCTTAGATGTGCGATTGAGAACATTAGACTCCCAAGATCCATAAAGTTCACCTTTCTGGCTTCTCTGCCCTTTCCTGTTTTGCCCAGTTCACTTGGATGGTGGTTGTTGGTAGGCTGGTAGGTTTTGTTATTCCCTTTCCTCTTACCTCCTGATTTCCTACACCTCTCTGGGGCCCTGGGCCAATACTTCTCTCAGAGGCCAGGGGCTGCCATGGTCCAAGGAAAGGCCCAGCTGGAGTCCCCACAGCTTGTCCTTGTCCTCATCATTCTGTGTGTGAAACCAGAGATGGGGTCAGGTCCAGCTCCCAGGGACAGACATTTTAGAGTCAGAAGGCTTCTTGACTACATGCATTCAGATGTCCATTTCCCAGGTGAGAAAACCAATGGCCTGGGAGCAGGCTAGTTAGGATCAGGGCTCAGGGTTCTGGCAGCACCCTCTCCTCTGTTCCTCTCACCACATGACGCACAGGCTCTTCAGACATGAGGGTGCCCATACCTGCCTTCCCACCCCACCCAGGACATATACAAGGTCAAGCCCTTCTTGTGTGAGAATCTGCCAGCTCCTCTGACTGCTCACGGCTTAGCCCTACATTCCTCCTCACTTGGCAAAGACACTGAGCTGTGCAGCACAACCCCATACATCCCCAAAGAGAACCTTCAGATAGACTTTCCCTTTACAGAGAACCTCCAGGAAGACTGGAGTGAAGCACACAGTAATCCTAGAAGTTTCTACATGGCAGCTGAGTGATGAGGGGGAATCTAGGATAGTTAATACCACCTTGAAGCTGGCTTTCTTCCAGTCGAGGGTTTGCAAACCATTCCTGATTGATGGCATCGCCACGTGCACGGAGGGAACTTGGTGGTGTGGAGATATATATAGATATATAAAATACGTCTTTCTCTGTGAACAACTGGGTATTTTTATATATGTATATATCGTCAACCTGAGTTGTTTTCTTCCTCCTGTCCACTTCAAAGAAGACCATACCATTTATTCCCCATGGTGATAGCCCAACAGCTGACAAATCAAGGGTAATTATTTCTCTAATAAGCTATTAACAAGCACCATATTGAGTGAAGTGCATTTGAACAAGATAATTATTTAGTCGAATAGAGTGCGCACGAGACTCAGCGTGATGTGGCCTCCCTTAAGGGAGAGGTATCCAGAGGCGCTCGGAGTGGCTGCATTCTTTCACTTGGACTTCTCTCTATATAGTTCACAATGTGCTTTTAGAGAAAGGAGCTCAGACCCGCTCCCACAGGCTGGCTTGAGAAGGGCAAAACTGAAATACAGAACTGAGTGAATTGAGAACTTCCAACATCCCAGTGGGTGGGGCTGCGGGGGGCCCCATTTTACATCTGTCTCACAGGACTTGGTCGCCCTGCAGTGATGCCCACCAGTCAGTGTGCTGGGGGGCTGAAGGGTCCTGACCTGGGTGGGAATGCTACACTTTTGATTCCCACTTGGCTTTTGGTTTCCAAAGTTGACTTCAATGGCCTGGAGGGCCGTGTTTTTCCTGACCAAGCTCTCTTCCCTCACACTTGTCCTCTCAGGCAGCTTTGGGGGCTGGTAAGAGCACCCCTATCTACTTCTGTTTATGGGTTTTTATAGCATCGTGGGACCAACCACTCTGTGGCCACCTCAAGAAGGTTCCATTTTGATCAGGTTTTCCCCAGGGCAAGTGAACTCTGGACTGTAAAAGGACTTGCTTTTCGTCATGTTTGTGACTGTTAACACTGTACAATGTAGTTTCTGGTTCCAATTTATTTCAGAGTTTTGGGTTTTTTATTGTTTTTTTCATAAACCATTGATTTGGTTTCTGATACTTGCTTTATGAAATCTTCCATATTTCCTGCTCTCCAACCCTTTTTGTTTCACATTTCTTGTTGTGTTTTTTTAGTTGTGAGTTTTTACTTTATATTTTTCAGCCCAGGCTCTTTCAGCCAACTCAACTTCTCCTCCTAAATGTTTCTTGGACCCACAAGGCTCTGACTATTGAATTTTTGCCCCTGAGGTCTTCTCTTAGACTGATCGGATGGCTGGGAGACAGGAGTTTTTGTTTTTTTCTTTTTTTATGTTTCTGGAATGTTCCCAGTCAGGAAGCCAGTGCTGAGCTGATGGTGTTTCTCTCTCCCCAGCCTGGCTGGCCTCAAAGTTCTGTCAGAGTCTCCTCTCAAAAGCAAAGTGGCTTCAACCTCTAAGCATCTGAACATGAAAGGCTCCTTGAGAGTCCTTTCTGGAACCAACTCCTCATTTAGAGATGGGGAACCAGAGACTCTGAGAGGGGGTATGGTGGTATAATGAGGAAATGGCGGACTAAGGACCAGGATCCAGGCCTTGGGATGACCAGGCCCAGGATCTCCACTACCCATACTTCCCTTTGTGTTGGGACCTGGTCAGGCCCAACCTGGATTGTTCAGGAGGATGTCATGGACCCTACAGGGCATGGCTCAGTGTTCTTTTTTGTTGCTAGTCATGTAATGGTTTAGCCATTAACTCAACTCAGAGATCTCTCTCACAAACAAGGGCTTGAGTGGTCAGATAACCAGACCTTTCACCCTTGCTTCCTTCCAGCAGAAGCTGACTTGCTTGGTTTGGTTTGGGGACCTCCCTTTTCCAAGCCAGCAGACTGAGTCCCAGGCTCAGTCCCACATCCTGCCCTCTATAACCAGTGTTCTCAGGAGGCTGGTTTGTGAGGAAGCTGCTTGTGCTGTGTAGGAGACAGATGCTAAAACGGGGCCCTACCCAGCCCCTGTGCGTCCCCGGCTCCATCCCCAGGCAGGAGCTCAGACCCGGCCCCTGCCTGCACTTTGGGTTGGGAGCCCCACCTCAGGACCAAGTGTCTGTGCATGAGCCCCAGTGTCGGGGGCTCGGTGGCTGACATCTTCTTCCCTGTTCCCCACCCCATTTTCTCTCTCCTCTAGGTCCTGGCTTGGCCTTCATTGCCTATCCCAAAGCTGTGACGATGATGCCACTGCCCACGTTTTGGTCCATTCTTTTTTTTATTATGCTTCTCTTGCTTGGACTGGATAGCCAGGTAGGTGCAAGTCTGAGAATCAGCCCCCAGGGTGGGACTTCCTGCAGGGAAGCTGGTTCTGGAAAAGCCTTCCTGTTGGGGCTGGGAGGTAGTCACACCCCTTCCCACCCCAGATCAGACTTCCAGTGGCCAGCGAGGGTTCCTCCAGGAGTCCAGGGACAGAAAAGACCATAGGGCAGCAGGAGAGGGCATCTTCCATAAAGCTCTAATCTTTTACCAAACCTGGGAGAAGACGGATGACTGGAGGTAGGGTTAAAATGAAGCTGTTGATGGGAAATAGAAGGACATGATGGAAGCAGTCATGATGAATTACAGTGGAGCGTCCATCCAGGCAAGGATCAGGGCACAGGACAGAGGGATAATTGAGGGAAAAGGTATCAGAGGACACTTCCAGGCCATCATCATTAAATGCAGTCAAACATGATAAATGCAAGAGAAATCTAAATCAGAATCAGAATATTGTGCTTACGGAACAAATCAAGGGAGTCCCTGGGTAGTACAAATGGTTAAGCTGTCAGCTGCTAACCAAAAGGTTGGAGGTTTGAGTCCACCTAGAATCCCCTCAAAAGAAAGGCCTGGTGATCTAATTCTGAAAAAAACAGCCACTGGAAACCCTATGGAGTGCAGTTCTGCTCTGACTCATACAGGTTGTCATTAGTTGCAGTTGACTCAACAGCAGCTGGTATTTTACCAGTTTGGGAGCGAATGAGGAAAGAAGCATTGTCCTTCCAGCAAAACAGTGCATCTTCCAGGGTTTTATCAATGGCTAAATGTTAGGTGCTTCACTCAAACCTGCCTGCTCTCTGGCCATTCTGGTTTGCCCTCCCCAGACAGGGCTTCTTCTACACTGGCTTGTTCCCTGTACTTCTGCCAGCCAACCCATGCTGCTGTGTGACTTAGGGCACATTTCCTAACCTGAGCTTCATCTCCTCACTGGGTAAATGGTATGATTGTGCCCACCTCACAGGGTATTATGAGAGCCCCGTGGCCTACCTTGCATGAAGCACAAGGCACAGTGGCTGGTACAGAGCAGTCAGCTGTGTTTGGGGGACAATTAACATGAACTGCCAGGTGCCCTTTCCCTGGAAGGTTGTTCATTTCATTGGGGCCTTCTTGAGACAAAATTTTTAGGCACAAGAATGATTCCAGGGCATTATGGTATGCAGGGCAGGCTGGCAAGCCCTTCAAGTGGTGCCACTTAGGGGCCATCAGCTGAGGTTAGCCAACATGAAAGCTATAGGACCTTCTGTGTGCTCTGGGAGTATGACTGTCTTGTGGCAAGTTGCTGGTCAGTGGAGACCCTGTAAGAGGTCCCAGTCTGAGGCTAGTTCAAAAGAGAGCTTCACTGTCCTCCCCACAGGAAACCGCCTGCAAAGCCAGTGCCCAAGGCAGGTCCCTGGGGAGCCAGGGGAGCCAGGCCCAGGGAGGAGGAAACTCTTACAAGGTCAGGCTGAGGAGAGGGATTCCAGAAGAGGAGGCGGTCAGTGAGCAAGGTCAAGAACCTAGCAAAGGATTTGGCGAAAGGGGACCAGGATTAGTGGAGAAGACAGAATGAAAACAATTTGGATGCTGAAAACAAAATATTTCTGCAGTTGTTGACTGGCTTGAGCTGTGTAAACAAGCAAGAGGACGCCATTAATCATTTCTAATTAATGAGTTTGGCCTTCCCAGGCCCCAAGCAAATGGCTCTCATATATAAATTCTTCAAGAGTTCTAAGTGAAAGAAAAAAAACAAAAACAGAGAAGTTAATAAGTGACATTTCCTTGGGCCTAGAATGTACGGCTCAGGCTTTTGAAACTGCTCCCCAGGCAGAAGTCGTTATTCCTTAGATTTTCTCCTAGGGCGATGTGTGGGGCTTGTGTGAAGTTGCCCAACTCAGGTCAGCCAGTGCACTGGGAGAACCCTGTTTAGTTCTCAAAGCCAGCCTACTTCACAGGGCATGGAACACAAGACTAGGAGAGGCTTAGTGACTACGGGAGTCCCTGGTGGTGCACTGTTAACACTGCTAACCAGAAGGTTGGAGGCTTGAGTCCACCTAGAGGTACCTCAGATGAAAGTCCTGGTGATCTACTTCCCAAAAATCAGCCATTCAAACCCTATGGATCTCAGTTCTACCCTCACACACATGGAGTCACCATCAGTCACAGTTGATCCCACGGCCACTGGTTTCTGTTCCATAGCAGAGAGACACTAAGGACTCACACGTGCAGTTAAGGCATGGAACCAGAATGTGACCCTGTCTATCTGTTTCCATAACCTATCCTCTTACCTACTAGTCTGTCAGCCTTCCCTTTGACTGCCCCCAAATTACTTCCTCTCGAGCTCTGGAGATGACAGCCAACCTCAGGCAGAGGCCTCTTGTGTGCGTTACTGCGTTCTAGTGAGTGTGAGCCTTGCTTGTGAGAGGAACCACTCTCCCAAGATTCCTAGCTTAGGTGAGCAACATTTGGAGAATTGCATTGTGGTTTAGGACCACTCTGCTGCTGTGTTTCTTGGCGTAGGGAAGTCACTGCTGTGGAGGCAGGTGCCTGTTTCTGTTTGGGCTGCCCAAGCAGACACATGTTGTGAACAAACAGCGAGGAAAAGAAAGCTGGAGCCCATCATCAAGAAGCTCACCTCTCTCAGTCCCTCTTGACATAGGGTGAGAGTAGCCACCCTTCCTTGGAATTGAACCCCACCCCTACTCCATGCATGGGGAGGGCAGTGGTTGCTCAGTGGAAGAACTCTAACCTTCCATGTGGGAGACTCAGGTTCGATGCCCAGCCAGTGCATCTCATGAGCAACCACCACCCGGCTGCCAGTGGAGACTTGTGTATTGTAGTGATGGTGCAATGGAGCTTCCAGATTAAGACAGACTAGGAAGAAAGACCTGGTGATGAACTTCTAAAAATCAGTCAGTGAAAACCCTATGGATCACAATGGTCCAATCTTCATTCAATCATGAGAATGGCATTAGAAGGGCAATGTTTTATTCCATTGTTCTTGGGATTGCCATGAATTAGGGGCCAATTTGACTACAACCAACAACAATAGCAACTTGCATAGTACTGTAATTGCCAATTTATTCTTAGAATAACAAATCTTTCTCAACCTCCCTACTGAGCAAGCAAGGCTTCCCATTTTATAGAGGAGGAAACAGGTTCAGAGAAGTCAGGGTCACATGGCTATTAAGTGAGGGTGCTTGAATTTGCACCTAGTGTGAGGTGGGGGCAGTGTTCTCTGTGAAAGACACTTTGGGAACTTGAAAGTGTTGGCGTGGCCACCAGTGATGCTGGACATACCTATCTCTAATTCTCCATCTCAGAACAGGAAAGAACCTTGATAATAACTCCTGTTGAAGCTTAAGACACATGTTTGAGCTTCAGATTTATTATAATTTAGTTGCTATTTAGGTTCCAAACTCCTTTAATTGATATATCAGTCAGGAGTTAAAAGGCTGACCCCTTCTCTCTGGACCCTTCCAAGAGCCTTTGGCCATAATTTCTTTGCATTCCTGGCAGCACAGTGTCATCTCCTGCTCCCTTCCAGCTCATGAATGAGGTTTTCTGCTTTTTTTTGTATTCCTTTCTTGATCCTCCTGTAGTAGTCCCAAAGGAACAAGCAGTTAGATTTGTTTTGTGGATAGTTGGGAAGTCATCCTTTCATAAAAGCCTCTCCCCAATCAAACAGCAGATGGACAAGGCAAGGCTTTAGCTTTTCAACATGTAAAAGAATCTAGTTGGCTGGCTGAGTGAGTTGGCAGTAGCCATCCAAATATAAAATGCTTGTATGTGCCCTTTAGACTTAACGGTTTCACCTCTAAGACTGCTGCAGATACCAATGCACACATGCCTACAGACATGCAGCAGGAGATGGAAACAACCTAAATGTCCATCATTCAGGGACAAGGTGAATCCCTGATGGTATATCCATAGGATGGAATGTTATGCAGCCACTTGAAAAATGAAGCAGCTCTCTATAGAATGGTATGGAACAGTCTTCAAGATGGATCAAGTGAAAAGATAGATAGATCATCCAGTCCTAGAACATTTCCTGAACTTTTTCATGTCACCTTTATCTCTGGGAGTTCAGGGTGGGTTCCTAGGGTTCATGTGGTATCTAGAATCATGTACAGCCCTTGGCTTACACATGTGGGCCCGGGGGTGTGTGTGCATGCCTGTGAAATCTCTAATGGGCCCATGATCCCCAAAAAGGATCAAGACCACCCTCCATTTCACTGATGGAGAAACTGAGGCTCAGATTTGCCCTGAGGCACCCAGCAATTTAGCATCAAGGACCACTTACTCATTCATCACATATTTATCGAGCAGCCTCATGTGCCTGGCCCTGAGCTGAAAACGAGTGTGGCACTGCTCATACCTCCCAAGAAGTCTGAGACAGCCCTTGGGTGTGCCAAGGCGAAGTGACTTCAGAGAAGAGGCAGTTCTTGAGCTGAGTCTTGAATGATGAGGAAAAGGCATTCTGGCAGTGAGAACAGCTTAAATGAAGATATGGAGGTGTGTAATATTTGGCAAGCTGTGTGTGCATCAGGGTTAATGTGCTCGGCTGCTCACCAGAAGGTTACAGGTTCAAGTCTACCCAGAGGTGCCTTGGAAGGAAGGACTGCTAATTAGATTCCAAAAAACTCAGCCACTGAAAACCTTATGGAGCATAGTTCTACTCTGACACACATGGGGTCACAGTTAGAATCAACTTGATGGCAACTGGGTAACTGGTTGGGTGTATGGGTCATAAACCATGTGGTGCAGGGTGACCATATGGTGCAGGGTGTGGCTCCAAGGAGCAGCAGAAAGGACTCCTCTTGCAGTGAGAGCCTGAAAGACCAGGTTTCATGTATTTGGACTTGATCCCACAGGCAAATTCCGGGCACAGACACATCTCCCTGCCCTTTGCCATGCTGCACACATCCTGAGCCCTCCTCTGAGCAAGGGCCTTCAGTGGACATCTGACACTTAGCCATTCTCTTTCGCTCTCCCATCTCCTTTCCTCCTCAGTTTGTTGAAGTTGAAGGACAGATCACGTCCTTGGTTGATCTTTACCCATCCTTCCTAAGGAAGCATCGGGAAATCTTCATTGCCCTCATGTGTTGTGCCAGCTACCTGCTGGGGCTGACAATGGTGACAGAGGTAAGTGGCACTCCCACCTGGCACAAGAGACTTTCCTCTGCAAGGCCCTGATACCTCAGAGCAGTTCAAGTCCACATCTACGCACTGGTGGAGACAGGAGATGTTGAGAGGACAAGGGAGGAGTGGTCACCCAGTCGTCCCAGTTTAGGGGATCCACTCTGCTTGTAGGGCTCAGGCCTATGCTGGGGCCAGCACAAGGAGGCTCAGGACCCAGCAACTGAATCCAAATGTGGTCTTTTCAATCCCCAAACTACCCTGCCCCTTTTTCCTATGACTGTGGACACTCTCTGCCTTGTGGCTTCTCCCTCATCCTGGGAGGCACAGGGAAAAGAAACTCCAACCAAAATCCATTGTAATAATAGTTCTGTTCACCACAATTGTGTATAACAGCCCTTCTCAGACCTAGGAAGGCAAGTGGAGCCATTTGTAAGAGTAGATGCAAATTTCCTGGGTAGAGACCTTGGGTGGTACCTGGTGAAGATGCACTGATTTCCAGACCAGCATCTGACTGCAGACCATGGGCCCAGGTCCAAGACCTGTGTCCTGGGGTTATCTGGCTGATGGGGAGGGTACACAATTCAGAGGGTGGTAGGCGCCCCAGGGAGATTCAGTTCAGAACAGGAAAAAGAGAAGCAGAAAGAGGAAGGGAGCAAGAGTGTCCAAGGCATCAGTAGATCAGCATGTCTAGTATTAGGCCAGCCCAGAAAGAAAAAGAACACAACCTTTAGAGTCAGGCTGAGACCTGCTGTCTGCTACATGCCACTCCTCCCAGTATTCTCTAGCAAAGGGTTGCATTTAACAATCGCCCCCAAACCTCTCTTAGTCACCACTTTACTTACCAGGAGTAAAAATAAATGTTTTTGTTTGGTTTGGTTTTGTTTTCTGGAGATGTCTTTGAGAAAACCTTCGTAAAAGCAGATCATAGCTCCAGATGCTTAATAGCTGGATACCGCTGAAGTCTTCTGTGTCTGCCACAATTGGTTTTATGCATCACCTTTGAAAGCAGACTTCAGTGAAGCCATCATTTTTTGTTAGGAAATATATGTTGTTTTCATTTTTCTTTGTTTGTGTTTTTCATTCAGTTGCTTACATATGAAGTTGGACATCTTTTTACACGTTTATCTTTCAACTGTGTGGCCAAAGCTTTTGCTCGTTTTTCTTTCTTTCTTTTTTTTTTTTTTTTTTATTTCTTATTGATATGCCAGAGTTCTTTATAAATGAAAGGAATTAGATACTAAATAACAAATCAGCCTTCTCTGTGGTTTTTTTCTTCCCAGGGTGGCATGTATGTGTTTCAACTCTTTGACTACTATGCAGCTAGCGGTGTATGCCTTTTGTGGGTTGCATTCTTTGAATGTGTTACTATTGCCTGGGTATATGGTGAGTACAGATTTCTGCATATCCCTTCTCAAGTTTTTCCTTTGAGCTTGAACTTCAGAAGCAGAGAATCCTAAAGGGGACTCAGCCTATGTAGAACACAGAGGCCCTATCTGGACTCTTCCTCTTGAGACAGACCCTTCCCACATAAATAATACCTTTGTAGCCATGCTACAGATTTTTCCCATGTCAAGGGTACAACACATTTTTTTTTGTTCAAACACGTACTTAGCTGTGCAGGGGCCTATGATTAATTACCCTGGGGATCAAGAATGGTCCATTTCAATCTCTTTGAGACCTTGGTTGCCCACACCAGGATTTGAGGTCTGCCCAGTGTTGCCAGAAGAATTCATATCAGCCAGTAAAATTTGAATTTCAGATAATTTCAGATAAAGATCTACCACTTTGGTCTACATGGTGTAGAGGCTTGGATCAGGCCCCCAGAAACACTCCCCCCACCATGGCCCTTGATTCTCTGCTTTGCTATTATTCCCAGGGCTGATGCTAGCATTGGGCACTGTGTTACCTTGTGCCTACCTCTGTCTCTTGCAGGCGCTGATAACTTTTATAATGGTATTGAGGACATGATTGGCTATCGGCCTGGGCCCTGGATGAAGTACAGCTGGGCTGTCATCACTCCAGTTCTCTGTGTTGTGAGTTTCATCCTGCCTGTCTATGGGTGGCTTTTTCTCCCTGGTTCTTGACATTGTCACCTGCTCATCACCATCTATTCAGCATCTGTTAAGTGCAGGGCAGTAGCAAGCTTAGTGGTATGCTCTGCCTGGGAGAGGTGGGGAAGACTGCTCTCAGGTTACCTTTAGTTGGGTTTTGAAGGATGAGTAGGAGATTGTCAGGAAGGACATTCAGCTGAAGAACCAACCTGTGTAAAGGCACAGAGTTCTGGAAGAGGAAGATGTACTTGGGGCATACTGAGAAATTCAGGGATCCAAGACTGAGTGTATAACCTTTCCCCTAAGCCCTCCAGAGCTCATGAGCTCATGAGTAGTTGGTTAAGGGTCCTTGAGAACATCTAATGGACAGGTCATGGACATTGGATATTTGGTGTTTCTGTGGTGGGCTGGTGGTGCAGCTTAGAGAGGGAAAGGCTCAATAGAAGATGATCTGGGTTCTTCTAAACACAAAGATGCTTTGCATCAGTGCAGGACTCAAAGGCAGGGATGTATCACATTCCTCTTCCCATAAGGATTATCTCACTCCATCTTGGAATATGGCCTTGGAGTGTACCAGGCACCCTCCTTTGAAGTTCCACTTAGGAGATGCTGGCAAATGGGATACTCTGCAGTAAGAGCTGCTTAATCTCAATGTTGGAAACCAGCTGTGAGCTTTGGAGCTTATTACAGGGAAAGACAACACCGTTGTACCATTCTCGGCTCACAGTATGGGGTGAACAAATGGCAGGAATGTTCCTTGCATTTAGGAACTGGTACTGAGGGATAAACGGATCTTCCTCTCAGTGACCTCTATTCTGAGAACAGACTAAATCCTTGTTGCCATTAATTCACTGTGTGACGTTAAGCAAGGTATTTCTCTTCTTTGGCTCTCAGTGTCCCCATTTGTAAAATGAGGAGGTTCTTAAGTGGGACTTGAGAGGCATCTGGCAACTTGAGGTCATTTGTGTTATTATCTAACATGACTGTGCTCTTTTCATCAGAAGTACATGTTTTCTCAAGACTATTTTCTCCACAAGAAATAAATAATCATAGCAGCTGGTAACCACAGCACTTGATGAGTTTGTTGATGGAGATGAATTGAGTTGAGTACAAGCTAGGGTTCTCATCCTCACTTAATATTTGTTCATGGGCAGCTCCTTTCACCTCTGACCCTCAGGTTTTTCCTTATCCTTCCCTGAGGAGTTGGGTAGATTAGTGCTAGGCAGCCTTCCGAGAGAATGGGCTGAGGCCCACTCGTGGGAAAAGGAGTGTGGCACGGATGGGTGCAGGTCTTGGGTGGATACAAAGCATCCCTGTTCTTGCAGAGCCCAGATCAGCCCTCTGCTGGGACTCGCCCTGCCTGAGCCACAGCCCCATGCATAAGTACAGAAGCATGACAGGCCAAGCATCCAATAGGTGCCCAATAGAAGGTGTCTTGAGTCTAATGCTCTTCCTGCCCCCATCATCAAGTCTATGCTTAAGTATGTTTGTCTGTTTAAAACATTTGGATTCATCAAATGCTAGTTATTAGACAATGAGAATGTGAGTCATTTTTACATTGTGGATCAATCCAAGGCAACCCCAAGTTAAACGCAGAAATAGTCCTATTCCAACCAGAGCAATAGCTGTGGCCAGCCTAGGCTGCCATTAGCCTGGGTTAGGGTTGAGGTGTGCCACTGAACAGGGCAAGGTCCAGGGCCACACCCTGGCCTAGTGGCTGGGCCTAAGGTTTGCCTTGAAGCTTATGACTCAGAGATGGGCAGGCAGCAGCAGGCCAGGAAGGGAAAGCCTTTGATTAATGCACCAGTGAGTATTTATTATATACCTACCATGTTACCAGAAGGCTGGCGGTTCAAAACCACCAGCCACTCCTCGGAAGGAAGGTTGGACAATCCTACTTCCGTAGTGATACTGCCTCGGAAACCCAAGGAGGGGTCGCTATCAGTCGGGGCCGACTCGACGGCAAACAACAACAACAACAACGTGCACCTGGATCTCTGCCAGATGTTACAGAAATGGAGGGGGATGTTACAGACACCCTCATGGACTCATGGTCTGATGGGGGTGGTGTGTGATGAAGAATGCTTACAATCACAGGTAGTTCTGGTGTGGAAACATGGGTGCCTGAGTCTGGGTAGGGCTGGGGAAAATAATGCTTCCAAGAAGCAGGGCCACTAGAACTAAGTTAAAATGAGGAGGCATCAGCCAGGTGAAGAGGAGAGGAAAAGCAGGAATAGACTGTGCTAAGGCCCTGAGGCTGGTAGCTAAGGAAATGGAATAAGTCAGATGGCTGGAGTGTAGATGTGGAGGAAGTCATGTCTACATTCTGAAGGCATGCGTGCACAGTACAGAAAAGAGGAGAGGCGAAGGACCACAGCTGCTGGCAAACATCACTGACCAAGCTGAGGAATTTGGACCATATCCTGAAAGCACTGGGGAGTCATAGAAAGATTTTGAGCATGAGCAAGGGAAGCAATGTGGTCAGATTTGCAGTGATGGAGATTCTTATAGCAGTTAAGTGAGAAGGATGCAAGGCATAAACTGGTCCTCCCCCAAGGAGAGAAGCTCTCCCCTCGGATTGAGGCCTGCCCTGGCCCCACTAACCTCTCCTTTGCTCCCCATGCCTAGGACCCCCTGACTGCCTCCATCTCTCTGCAGGGATGTTTTATCTTCTCTCTCGTCAAGTACCAGCCCCTGACATATAATAAAGTCTACGTGTATCCTGACTGGGCCATTGGGCTGGGCTGGGGCCTGGCCCTGTCCTCCATGGTGTGCATCCCCCTGGTGTTCCTCATCTCCCTCTGCCAGGCACAAGGATCTCTGTCCATGGTAAGTAAGCACATGTGGGACCTATGCTGGGGGCCAGGAGGCCATAGGCTGGCTAGCCCTCAGTTTGCTATGTGACCTTGAGATAGTTGCTTACCCTCTCTGAGTCCTACTGAATGAAGTTATTGAGATTGTGGTCAGTGCAATGTGAGAAAAGTACAGTTTACACCAAAGATGGCTTTGTGGTGGCATTCAAAGCAGGCTTTTGAGCAAGAGGAGGAATTTACCAGGCAGAGAGATGAGAAGGGAGAGTATTCCTGGATGGGGTGTGGTGTAGTCACAGTTGGGGAGGTGTGACAGCACTTGGGCAGCAGCAATAAGCCCTGAAGGTTGACTTATGAGGCTAGAGAGATGGATGTGGCGTTAAGTGTCCCCCTCAAGAGCTTAGGCTTTATCTAGGAACAGTGGAGGCTGGATATATAAAGCAGGGAGATAGGATACAGGCTCTGGGAGGAAGCTGAGCCCCACCCAGTTGCCTGCCCTTACTGTGGAGCCAAACTTAGGGTAAGCCCAGCCAAAGCCAGTATCCTTCCCTAGGGTCTCCTGCTGTGTCTGTGGCCATACCTTGGAAAGCCACCTCTGCCCAGGGCCAAGTCCCTGTGTCCAGGCTCCTGTGCCAGCCCATGTCCTCCCTCCAGATCTCTGCTCCCCAGCCTCCTCCCCTTCCTCCAGCCTCCTCTGAGAAACTCCTCTAACAATGCTGGAGACTCCAGGCCCTGGCAAAAGTATGGGCTCTTTCCAAGAAATCTTTTTCTCAGAATCGCCCTTAACCTTTGGGCTTGGGCAGGCTCCAAGATGTCCCTGTTTTGTTTTGAGTTGTTTTATTGTTATTCTCTTTTTTAAAATCTGGAGCCAGGATGTCCTGGCCCTGGCTCCTCCTCAGGCTGGGACACATTTCCTCATTACTGGGGGATGGCTTGAAGGTGGGTTTGGGACAACGAGACCTAGTGGGGGAGAGGGGAGACCAAGCTGACAGGGACCAGCCTTCTGGAGATCGAGGAAGTCAGGGTGCGGCAGGGAGGAAATCATGAAGCTGGGGTGTGTCTGAGCCAGTTAGCCCTTGGGTGTTCCTGGAGCATTGGACCCCCATTGTCTTTTTCACTTTTATTGTTTTTCAGTAAGACCCCAATCTGCAGCCAGACACTGAAAGGCCCATCAGTTGTTCAAGTCAGGGAGTAAAGGCTACTTCCCTGAGCCTCCCAGTTTCTTCCCTAAATATCCCAGCCCTTCCCTGGGAGCTTCCAAAATGTCCTCACCACATGGAAACTAAAAGGTTAATTTGGGCACAGTAGAGGTTATCTAGATATCTGTTTTGATTGGTCACTGCTCAAACCAAAAAAAGAGAAAATACAGCCCAAACCTGCTGCCATTGAGTCAGAGTAGAATTGCCCCATAAAGTTTCCAAGGCTATAAATCTTTACATAAGCAGACTGCCTAATCTTTCTTCCATGGAACAACTGTTGGGTACAAACCGCTGACCTTGTGGTTAGCAGCCGGGTGCCTGAAGCACTGTGCTGTCAGAGCTCCTTTCATTGTCCATAGCAATAATGTATTTCAACTATTTGGTGGGGGGAGTAGAACACCTACTAACTTTTTACAGTATATAAGAAAAATGGTGTCAACTCTAAAAATGGCATGGTGGTAGCATTACACCTCCTCAGCTAACTTTGAGGGGAAAGAGAGAGAATTGTTATCAGCATCGGCCCAAAGCTAAATCTTATGCTGGAAGTCAAACATACTTCCACCCTCTAACATTTCACCAATTCTGACACCACCTGTCCCTCTCACAGCATTCTTTACTTCTCTGCTGGGTTTGATAATTCATGGCATGATTATTAGGGAAGTAACAGATTACAATTCAGGATCAGGAATGACTCAGGATAGTTCTTCGATCTGGACTGCCTCTTTTCAGTTGTGCTTGTGGGCAGGCCTCTCTGGTTGTTGGCCCCGTGGCCCTTTAACCCCTGTGCCCCTGCCCTGCTTGGGCAAGTGTTACAAAACTCTTTAGCTCCACCAATAAGTGCCCAAGGGCACTGCACTCTGCCAGGAAGCCTTGGCCCAAAGGTGCTCTGTGGGTCAGCAATCCTTACTCCACTGACAAGTGCCTGGAGGTACCCCACTCCACCAGGAAGCCTCCTTTCTGAATGTTCTCAGCTCTCTGGCTGCATGGGTTGGCACACCCACTGTAGCCACCTCTCTCCATGGGCTGGGAAGCCCAACATGTCATCTCATACCAGTCTCCTGGTTCTGCTGCCACCATTTCTCTGCCACTACTTCTCACCATCTTGTGCCATCTCTTATGTTATGCAACACTTCCCCCACCCCTCGCTGCCTCTGGGTCTAGGGACCATCGGTCCAAAGGACGTGTTCTGTTCTGGTCTCTTCTTCTTGGTGGTAGTGAGGTCCCCTTTTCTGCCTCTAGGATGGCTCATTTTAAGCCTAGTAGGACAGCAAAACTAAAAAACCAATCCCCTCATTAGGATCTCATGCACCTTATTTGCATAGTACCAACCAAATCATTTGGGGAGAATTACAAGACCATGGCTATAAAGGAAATATAAAAGCAATCCATTACACAACACAATGTTAGCACAGCCCATGTTTAGAGATCTGATAAGAGTGGGATTGGCATGAGATAAGGAGGAGAGCACAGGCAATGAATTCCATTCCACCTTTGACTTGCATTTTTTCCACATCTAGAAGCCTGACCTGTTAATCAAACCTCCTTCTCTGAAGCCACTAGAGCCCCTGTCTTTGCCCATGACCCTCAGGGGCTTCCATCTGCAAGGTTGCAAGGTATCCCAAGGTACTGCCTAACCATGACCCTGGCTGGCAAGCCCAGCTTTCTCCATCCTGGGCTGACTGTAGTGGCACCTGAGCCTCCCATCCAAATGGAGCATGGATGCCCCCTCCCACCCCCCACTCCCACCCCCAGGCCTGCATCTTGGCTGTACTTCCACATTCACACTCACTTTATAGATGTAAGGAACTCTGGTGGCATAGTGTCTAAGGTATTTGACTGCTAACCAGAAGGCTGGTAGTTCAAACTCACCAGTCACTCCTCAGAAGGAAGACTGGGCAATCTACTTCCATAGAGGCACTGCCTTGGAGATGCAAGGAGGGGTTGCTATGAGTTGGAATCAACTCATTGGCAGTGAGTTTGGTTTTTTCAGTTTTAGAGATGTAGAGACTGAGGAGAGTAGAGAAAGATAAATAGAAGCCACCCACTTCCTGCTGGCATTTCCCCCTACCCCTTCACTTGGAGTCTCCAGTCTGATCCCTTTAGGGACCAGAAAGGCCCTAGCAGCTGGTAGTATACAGGAAAAGACAACTCCATCAGCAACAGGCAGTGATTCCCTTCAGTGCTGGCCAAGAGGGAGCATGGGCCTGGGGTTCCCAGGTCTTCTAGTTTTTCAAGAGAAGATAGAAATCTGGGTTTTCAACTGAAATATTATAGTTTTTAATAAGCACCTTATTTTAAAAAATAATACACCTAAATTGAAGGTAAAATGCTGAGGGGACATTTGTTTGCAACTGCTAGCCTATTAAAGCTTCTATTTACAAGGAAGTAGAGTGGGAAGCAGGAGCCCTGGGTTCAACCATTGATTTCTGGGTGTCCTTTCCACACTGATTCCATGAGCAGGCAACCAGCTGTGGGAACATAAAACTCACCCTGGCCAGAAGCGATCTAAAAATTCATACCCAGTCCCACCTTCGGCTCTTCTGTGTTGAAGGTGCAGATTTGAGCATAAGCAGTGTTACTCATACTTTTTTTTTTTTTTTTGTCTTTAATTTCTTAAAACTGTATTTTGTTGTTGTTTGTTGAGAATATACACAGCAAAACATATACTAATTCGACCATTCTACTTGTACTATGCAGTGACAATGATTACATTCTCAGAGTTGTGCAACCATTCTTGCTCTCTTCTCAGTTGTTCTTCCCTCGTTAACATAAACTCACTGCCCCCTAAGGTTCCTATCCCATCTTTCAAGTTGCTGTTGTCATTTTGATCCCATATCCAAAACCAACCCATTGCCATTGAGTTGATTTTGAATCATAGTGACTCTATAGGCTGTAAATCTTTGTGGAAGCAGACTGCCACATCTTTCTTCCACAGAGCTATTGGTGGGTGGGTTTGAACTGCCAACCTTTCAGTTAGCAGCCCAGCACTTCAAACATTGTGCCACCAGGGCTCCATGATTCCATATGTTGTTGTTGTTATGTGCTGTCGAGTCAGCCCTGACTCATAGCGACCCCTCCTTGGGTTTCCGAGGCAGTATCGCTACAGAAGTAGGATTGCCCAACCTTACTTCCAAGGAGTCTTATAGAGAGTTCTTAATGCTCAAGGCAGGCTTTCTTTCCCCCCCCCCCCGCACTAGTTTTTTGTTTGGTTTTAAAAAAGACTTTGGGATATTTTTAGTTTAAGATTTAAAGGTTATAGTGTCCCCACTCTTTTAAGGTGAAGCACAGGGCCAAGAATGGGATGCCTGCAGGGTAAAGAGCCCTCTCTGGGATAAGGTAGGAAAAGTAGCTTGTTGGGAGGTTGAGAGGAGTTGAATTGCTCCTTTAGGAAGGTGAGAGTCATGAGTCATTGGAGCCTTAAGACAGTTATCATGCCTCTTGTTGGTTGCCGTCAAGGTGGCTTCGATTCACAGCGACCCCATGTACAGTAGAACAAAATGTTGCTTGATCCTGCACCGTCTTCATAATTGCTGGTAAGCTTCAGTCCGTTATTGCAGCCACTGTGTATTTTGATTGTCTTCCGACCTAAGGGACTCAACCTCCGGCACCGTACTGGACAGTGTTCTGTTATGATTCGTGGGGTTTTCACTGGCTAATTTTTGGAAGCAGTTCAGTAGACCTTTCTCCTAGTCTTTCTTAGTCTGGAAATCTGTCCACTGATACCTGCCCACCTAGTGTGACTCTGCTGCTATTTGAAATACTGATGGTATAGCTGCCAGAATCATAGCAACACACAAGCCATCCAAAGTACAATAAACTGATACACAAATTGCTGAAATTTGGCTGCTTTGCAAGTCAAAGAAATCTGGGGAAGGAACTCATAAGAAGGTATATTTCAGCTCCAAAGGTGAAAGAAGCCAGAAAATGGAGGTCGTGAACCCCACAGCCCTGGAGGCATTGTAAGCAGGGGTCAGCCCTGACTCAAGCATAGAAGTCACCTTAGTTCAACCTCTTTGTTTCCCAAGAGGATGAGAAAGGAGAAGTCCAGAGAGGGCAGTAGTTGTGTGAAGGCCAAACAGCACACAGACAGGACCAGAAGGAGGTAGATGATGAGGTGCCAGGGTGATGAGGGAACCACTTCTGATTTTCCCTCCCTTCCTTTTTCAGAGATTCAAGTACCTGCTGACCCCGAGGGACCCCAACCGCTGGGCTGTGGAGCACGAGGGGGCCCTCCCCTTCAACTCTCCCTCCACTGCCAATGGCATTCTCATGAAGCCGACCCACATCATTGTGGAGACTATGATGTGAGCTCTCGGGTTGACGGGCCGCTTTCCTGCTGTTTACTAACATTAGATTCTCATAGGACCAGGTTTACAGAGCTTTACATTTGCACTAGGATTTTTTTTTTAATTGTCACAGAAAATGTTACTGTGTGTGTGTGTTGTGTGTGTGTGTGTTTTGTTTTGATTTGAGGATATTTTGTACGAAAAGAACCCCCCTCCCCCCAGGCAGATATCTGGGGAGTGGTAGAGCTTTCATACCGAATTAGATGTATTTTATGGGAACTTGTTAAATTTTTCTTTGTATTATTTTTTACATATAACTATATATACACTTAGAGATTCTTGTACATTTGACCACTTGAATTGATCTTGCCAGCAATAGCTCTCATTTCAAAAGCAATTCTTCGGTGCTTGTGTAGCTGGCAGAAAGTTCTGCCCAAAACATCCAGGGTGGAATTTCCCTGGAGCAGCAGACCTATTTCAAAGGTGTAGTACCTTCTAAAGCCTGGTTCAGGTGGAAGAAAACAGCAGGGGAAGAGGGTCCCACTAGCCGGCCAAATCCAGAGGGGTTGAAGAAAAAGTAGGCTCATGAGTCGACACCTCATTAAACTTGTCTTAGCCAAGAAGAGAGATGCCAAAATAATGAATAAACCCCCCTCCAAGAAAGATGAGGCCTTCTTGCAGAAGTCTGATTCGCACTGGGAGCAAAATCCCACCTTTTATTTTGAGATTGAGAAGGGATTGTCAGTAGAACTATCAGCACAATTCATCCAAGAGGGAGAAATGAGATATCTGAGAGAGCCAATGAGAATGAGCTCAGGTTTGGGAGCCGTTATGAAGCTCCGTACTAGCATTGGAAGAGGCAGGGCCAGCCCACAGTCCTTCCTGGGGTTTCCTTGGGTACCCCAGGTGAAGCCCTGGCTGCCCAACTCTAAGGTAGGGGACTTTGCACAGGGTGGGTCTGTTACACTGGAAGGGAAATATGGTAGATTCAGGTGGTTCCTCCCTCTGGAAGCTGCCTGTGGGAAACTTGATGTATATGCAGTTAGGGATGGGGTGAGGTGGGACGGTGCGTGGACCAAAGGGCATGGGGCCTGTATTCAGATGGGCCGCTGTGGCTAGGGATGCTTTTCCTTTCTCATCTCCCCACCCTCAACTCTGTCCTCACTTCCCACAGGCTGGGAAGCTCCTGACCAGCTTTTGTTAAAGACCCATTCCTAGCAAGGAATGCCAAGAACAGGTTTTGAAGTTTGATCTTGGATTTGGATAAAATGTTCCCCAAAGCAGGAAGTGCTTCCCTCCTTCCCAGTTCAGGTCCAAAGCAGTCATCAGTGCAGACCTGGGATATAATAAAACTCTTCATTTCAGAACCCCTGCAATGGTTGGTGTCAGACATACATGGGGACTGAGGAAACAGGAATGGGAGAGTTTTTCTGGGTAGTTGGGCTTGACCAGGGTGCTGGCACCCCAAAACTGGCTTGATCAACAGCCTTATGCAGAGTGGAATTCCTTCCTGAACCAGGAGAGAAGGTACAACATCTTTAAAATCACACCGCAGATACCACCCCTACTTTTCCCCTGCTTGGACATAAACTGTGCCATTTAATAGTCGTTTGCAAGTTCAGAGTCTAAAATAATGGAAACATTGTCAAGCCCAGAGGCAGCGACTGCCTGGAGGGGGTAGAGAGTGAAATCTGGCTCAGGTTTTCTAAGCAGGAGCTCTCTGGACCCCAGAATCCCCCAGATGTGGGAGGGAGAAGAGCCTTTGGTGTCCTGCCCACAAGGGGCAGAGGCAATGCTAAACCTCTTGTCTTTGGCAGGTATACACATTTATTGTTTCCTAAGCCATGTACTCTGCCAAACAGCATCCAATCTTAGTCTAAAACATGAACAATTCTAATGTGTTCCTATTTTTCTATGTATTTATGTTTGCGCCATGTCTGGTTTTATTTTACTGTGTTTTCCTAATTTTACTGAGTAGCAATGTGACTTGTTTTCTTTTGTCTTATTTAGCTTTAGTAAACTAACCACTGTCATGATTGGGGACAGGTGACATGTGGGTTAGAAGGGGGGCTTGGCGAGCATGGCTACCTGGGTATTTGTGGTCATTTCAGTCTGCAACATATACCCCTTCCCCCACCAAGGACTCACACCCTTGGGTGAGAGGCTGCAGTATTTCAGGTTGGTAGGCAAATTGCAACATTCTGGAAACTGCCTGAGGATTTCCAGATTATAAGAAGGTGTCTTCTTAGAAGATTCCCAGACCAAATTATAGACCAAAGACAATTGCAGACCAAGACCCCAAGACCCCGGGCTCCACCTGGAAGGAAGGTTGCCACTTTCCCCAAGACCAATCCTTAACACTCACCTGGGGCACCTGTCTCCAATTATAGTTCCTCTTCCCCAACCCCTGCTCTTGCATACCTGTAGAACTTGGCTCTATGAGTACAATGTGTAACAGTGCTTGACTTTTATATGACCCTATATAAATGAAACTTTTCACTAGAGCTCACAACTCTAGTCTGCCTGTCTCTGAAGAATGGACACTGTGCTCCACCTGCTCTGTGCCTGGGTTGGAGTAGAGGTTCTGAGGCCTGCACTGGACCCTGCCAGCCACATCTAGAAAGGAGGGAAGACAGAATCAAAGATGCAGAAATGGAGAAGGTTCTCAGGATAAATCTCTCCCAGGCAGATCAGCTGAGGTAGTCACTACAGGTGGGCCCAGCCAATATTGGAGGCCCCTAATCCAACACCCTCATAAAATGGGGAAATTGAGACCCAGAGAAGGGAAAGGACTTTCACACAGCAAGCTAGAATTCAAACTGGACTTTGTCAAGTCAACTTCAGCTTCCAGCTCTCCTGATGTAAGGCTCTGAGATGTCTGCTTTGAGTGTGAGGGTGTGACCAGGACTAATTCTGTGGAATTCCTCAGTGTCTTCTCTGACAGTCATGGATGAATCTTCATGGAAAAGGAAACACCAGCTCCCAGTTTGGAAGGATGAGGTGAGGAGCACCTCGCCCCCTTCCACTATCCTCATAGCTGACTGGACATCAAGCTGTGGCTCAGACATGCAGGTGCCTCCGGCCTCAAGGGACTATATCCACCCTGGCTCTTCACCAACCCTTTTTCCTCCTATCAGTCATCTGTGAGATAGGAACTGAGATCTTTATTTGCTCCTGAGAAACTGAGGCCCACAGAAGTGAGTTGGTGTACAAGAATGTTTAAATGAAGGCCTCTCAGTTCTACACTCACCCTGAGGCCATATCAGAAATTCCCAGCTGCTGTCTTGGTTAATTTTTTTTCAATGTTCCTTGTGTGATGGGCCGCACCTCTCCATCCCCTTTGTCCTTGGTTCTCCCCGCTAGATCCCCATCATACCCCAGAAGATGATGGTGAAGCACAAGGGAACAGTATGTCCCTACGACATCCTTGTCTCATAGCCAGAATCTGCGAGCACTGCTTCTTTTGGGTAGATAAATGCTCTGGGCAATGAGGGCTAAAGCCAAAGGTGCCTCCTTGCCCCACAAGATTCAGACAAAAAGTCCAAGAAGGACTCAGCAGAGACCCTCTTGAGGTGGCTAGAGGTCCCATCCACCCCTCAGACCCTAGCCCAAGTGGCCCAGAGCTTATTGTCTATAGGGATGTTGTAAAGAACACATGTGCAAATTCAGGAAGATAATGGCATAAACAAACCATTGTTCCAACTCTCCTCCACAAATACAGCAAGGAAAATGAACTCTGTTTTGGGGAGCAGAGGAAAGCAGCCAATATACTCCAAGAGGAGCTATGATGGCAACAAGGCAGATCTCCCCAGGGGTCCATTTGGAATATGTTATCATGACCCATACCCAGACACTGTTGGCTAGAAGCCTATTGCAATTTGCTACAGAACGCCCTTGCAGTAGAGTCTGCTCCTATAGTAAACAATCCACCAGACTCCCTGCATACTCTATAGCTCAGACTTCTGAAGCCAACAGGACGGAACTCCTGAGGAGTCAGTTCAGGTCTGTCCACTCCCCCTTTTGGCCAGTGCTGAGGAGTGCTGACTGAGGCTGCTATGTATTAAGAAGCAGACATCTGTAGTGAAGCCTACACCCACAGCCAAGATATTAGGGAAGGCTCTGATAACAATAAGGCAGACTTCCTGGAGACCTGGTGAAGCATGATAGACCCTCCCCTGCCTGGACACTGTCAACTGCAAGACTGCTGTAAATTGTGACCACCCCTCCTTCAATGAGTAAATGTCAGATGCTGGACTGGTAGGAACTCTCACAGAAAATTCCCTAAAGTCAAGTCAAGAGGTGGATCAACTAAGTGGACATTGCTCCCCTAACCACCACAGGGCCGCTGGGACTCTGAAACCAATAAGACAAATCTCTCAGTGGTCTTTCTGGGGAGTCATAGCTCCTCCTCTTCCAGAAATAGAGGAAAGTCTGTCTGTGCTTTCCCTGAATGCCAGCTTAGATATAAGAAGCCCTCACAGTACAGGGAAGAAAACATTGGACAAAACCAGAGGGCAATACCTAGCCCTGAAGGGGCTCACTGGGTATGAGTTTTCTGACTAAAAATGTGATTGCAGAAACAGAGATGGAAAGGGAGTGATAACTAGGGAGAGGGGCCTGTACTTCTGGTGGAAAGATTGGTTAGTACACAGTACCATGCCAAAGTGACAGAGCCTGCTCATGGACAGACTGACCACAGCATGTTTTCTGGTGTGTTTGGAAGAGACTGAGAGGTAATAAAAAAAAAACAAGATCTGGAACTTTCTAATCCTAATTAAACCAGGGAAGGATAAGGAGCTATCACAGAGTGGGAGAACAAATTGTAAGGAAAGGCCAAAGGCCTTCCTAAGAGTTTCTTGCAGAAAACAGTACAGGCAAAAACCACCAAATACTCAGGAAAAACTGTGAAAGTTAACACCTTTGCAACAAAAAAATCACAAGACACAGAAAGAACAGAGAAATAATGGCTCATCCAAATAAACATGATAAAGGGAGTGAAAAGAATATAATACAACACCATTA